TTAAACGAATGTGTCTTAAAGGTAAACACAAATTGCTCTTGATAATCACGATTAATTGCTTTTCGTTAAACGACCATTACTATACTTCATTCAAGCCGTCGCTTTTGATACATAACCCTAAAATTTCATTAGGATTCTATTGTTTCTATTGTGAACACGCGTGACCCATTCGATGTGATCATTGCAAACAGACTCGTAATCTACATAGTTGAATTCATTCTCGTATGAGCAGTGTTCATTTTGACTCAGATGAGTGTGCGTGCTGAAGAAAACGCGATGATTGCGAACGACTTTAGCTGTGAGTTATTTTGATGAAATCACGCGATCATACAAATTCCACAATGCTCATATTATTACCGTTGTCCCAAACAATTACATTGATAATACTAATAATAATGATTAGAGCGGAAATGATGAGGTAAATAACCAATATATAGTAATAATAATCATAATAACAATAATGAAAATAGTAGTCATACTTATAATGAGACTAATATCAACACTGCTCTTAGTACCAATAATACGACCTGAAACAATTATGATGATGATATAGAAATTGAATGTGGGGGTAGATGACAAATGAAGTCACGGCTGATTTTGCGATGACGATAGGTTTGGATACGGTCGGTTATAAGCAAGCAAATTTTTCAGTTAGCTTATATCTCTACGAAGAAAAGGCAGTGTCTGGGCACAATTCTTATGTCCTATTCATTTAGAGATTTGTTGTTTCTCATTTGAGCAAGCACATAAATTCTAAGAGCTCTGCGAACTGAAGCGAAAAAAAATTCTTAAGGCGCACGAAACAAGGAATTCACCTTCCCACTGAAATACTTCCTGATTTGATTGATCTCGTGTTCATTGCTATGAAATAAGCCACGAACATGCAAGCGCAATCAACAGCACAGCAACAATCGAAAGCAAATCAACGAGAACATAGCGTGATTTCAATTACACATGCAGTGATTTCAATTCATAAATCCATCGCAATGAAAATTCTTGAATCATAGAACAGTTTTCATCCACTTGCTTACGACCTCATTCATTGTCGTTACTTGTTCACGATGAGGAAACGATAGAGCACATCCATATTGATAGTTATTTAGCTTGAGTGTATTTGTTTGAAAAATTAATGGGATTATTGGACTGCAACATGACTAAAGTAATCGAAGGTCAATAAAGTAAAAGAAATTCCAGTCAAATACAAGAATTGATCACTTAACTTTAACTGAATTCAAAATGCGCTTGTGCCAAAAAGGTTAAGACTCAAAAGTTCCTATTGAGCTCAGCCGATGGCTGAACTGGGCTAATACTTGGCCTAGCCTAACACTTACACTAACGGTCAAGGCTTGGACACGTTTTAAAGCAGCAATATTCAACATAATTCCGATTGAACTCTCGACAGTCTTCAGTGAGTTCCCCGAAAAACAATCTGGACTGTTTTGCCAGTTGTCTTGACTCGAACAATTTCGTTTATACGCATGCATCTCACGGTAGCAATTGACATTCAAGAAGGGCTTGGTCTGGCTGTAAAATTTAGTTTTTGCTTCGATATGCTAACGGTTGTCAGACCCTCAGAATGCTGTAAGAATTACGAAAGTATTCGGATACTGTTGACAAAAACACGACGCACTGATGTGTTACTATCAACTATGAACATGTGAGGTGTTAGAACTAAACTGGTTGCTAATAAAGGCTGTGATCACGTTAAATTCGCAGTTCATGTCGAGTTCAAACTTCAGAATAGAACTTCGGAATGTCTTTGATTGCAGAAAAACCCACTTTTAATACGACCATTTGCATAAAGAGCAAAAACCTCATAAAAGTACTGGTTTCAAGGATGTCATAAGCAAATTATCTATTATGTTTCTGAAAGCACTGAAATCACCTCATAAAACCTCGCAAACTATTTATTGAGCATCTGAAGGCATTGAAATAACCTCTAAGCAATGATGCTGTCCGTAAGTAAATATGATAATATGCCTCATGAATTAAAAGACCATCTCTCTAGCTATTTATGAACATTCATATGATTCTAGCAGATTAACAAATTGAAAGTTATGAATAATTTTTCAGAGTGTGACATTTTATCATCAATACTTTAGAATGAATCCGACTCACAGAGAAATGCTGATTGTTTTCATGCTGATTAAACTCAAAATTCAATGCCAACGGAAAATCTCAAAAGGCTATGAGCGAAACAATTTGTTACGGATCATAAATTGTATCCATGGTAAAGATTTTGATTACTGTTCATTATGTGCGTCATTGGATTTCGATAGATGAATTGAATGAAAGCATCATTAATGACTGCTCATATCTAGGAGATTTAATATCATTTGTTCGAATTTATTGCTCAAATCAAAATGGTTCTTTCATTGTTTGAATTGTGACTTATCGCACATCGAACTCTGAACATTTCGTTTTTTTTTTCAGTTTTCAGCATTTCATTCGTCTAAATGAAGCTAGCTGATTTTCTGGTTGAATGATAACGATTTCACGCTAAAAATTATGTCTGACATTCCA